TTGCAAATGTCCCACGGTGGCACATTACAAATCCTCATGGTGGAGCTTTGGGAAGACTGCAAATGCGCGACTGAAGGCCACGAAACAGGGTCAATTTTGTGATAAGTGAATAAAGATTGTGGATTTTTTTTTAAGCTCGGTAATGTAATGTAAAAAGTGAACTGATCAATAGGAGGTGAGTCGGAGGTGAGTCGCCCAGGAAGAAGAATATGCTACGAACGTGGGACTAAGAATTTCATTGTTCCGCGCCTGGGTCATGTTGATCGGTTCACTTTTCAAAGGGTCATTTTTTTTCTGAAATGACCGATGACGCATGGAAGCAATAATTGTTCACATATAAATAGCCGATTGTAACAGAAATTAGCCGGAAAGTAACAAAAATTAACAATTAATGCAACTACTGGTATTCCAATTCGTCGGGGACTTCAAGCTCATATTTGTGTGTTTGACCACCTGTCGCCACAAGTGATAAGCTGCAATCAGTAAGTGCATTTGCAGAGTCCGATCTCTGGATTTAATACGTTTTGCATTGAAAGCTACCAGGAAATTTTAAAATAAACAATGAAGAAGTAGATATTTTAAAAACTGAAAGATAAAATTCTGAAAATGGCCTCTGACGATGAATGCTCCACGCCCGGGCTTAATTTTTAGGGAAAATACCCTACCCTGGGCATGGGGGAGATAAGGCAAAGCTGTTAAATGCTCCACAAATGCCCGTGGGGATGGGCGGGCTTGGAATTGACATAGCCTTAAACATCCACCATTTTACCATTTTACCACGATCAAAGATACGTAGTGGGGCTTCGAAACTGCTAACAAATACAACACAGAAATAGGAGGCTGCCCTGTGCGGGAAGCAAAAAGAATTTTACAGAATGCCTGTATCGTGGCCGCCCGGTTCTCTGTACCAGCTGTAGCACTTTGAAATTCAGATATGGGATTCTGTCTAACGATAATTCGTTAGACAGAATCCCATATCTGAATTTCAAAGTGCTACAGCTAGTACAGAGAACCGGGCGGCCACGATACAGGCATTCTGTAAAATTCTTTTTGCTTCCCGCATAGGGCAGCCTCCTATTTCTGTGTTGTATTTGTTAGCAGTTTCCAAGCCCCACTGCGTGTCTTTGATCGTTCGTATCTTGAACATTTGTCATCTCTTGATGCGAAGGGAAGCTTTTTACTAAAACGGTAAGTTACTAAGTAGCTTGTCATGTCAGGTGTAAATTTAAGTATTTGGGAAAGTGTTCCTGAGGGTAGCGAACGTTTTAGTGATGAATCGAAGGGAAGACAACGTTCTTTCATGAATCTCACCGCGCATACAGACTGTTTTATAATTTGTCCAACGAGGCGAATAAAACAAGTGAATTGTCCTGCAAGGGGAACAAACTGAATTCTAATTTGCCCAAGGAGACGAACAAAACAAGCAAATTACCTACCGAGGCAAACAAACGGAATAATAATACTTAAATTTACACCTGACATGACAAGCTACTGAGTAACTTACCGTTTTCGTAAAAACAAAATATCCATCACGTTTTGATAGCAGTTTATAAAGAACAATAATTTATTATTATTGAAAATTATTTCATTAGCATTTGTTGCAAGTAGTAGACATCTGCAGTGTTATTTATTGTCAATATACAGTTTGTTACTCTAACTAAAATGTCTTTCACGTTTTGATAGCAGTTTATCAGAAAAATTATAATTATATTATTGACTATTTTTTCATCAGAATTTATTGCAAGTACAGTGGAACCCCGTTAATACGACCACCTTCGGGCCTTGGAAAATTGGTCGCATTAACGGGTTGGTCGTATCAAAGGGGTTCTTTAAATAAGAAAATGACGGATTGTGTCTTTTTCGGGCCAGAATAAAGTGGCCGTAATAACGAGGTGGTCGTATTAACGAGGTGGTCGTAAGGCGGGTTTCAACTGTAATACAAATGTACAAAGAGTCAAAAGAATCAACTGTACCAGTAAAAATAAATCGTTCGAGTCAAACATTACCCTTGTCCGTTTGGGTCTGTTAAATACTAATCCCTTGAAAAATAAGCGAGTGCGAAGCTGTAAAAACTCACGCCTTAAGAAAGAAAACAAGGCTTACATAAAAATACAATAGAATTCAATTTCAACCTTGCTTATTTCTACGACATTAGTTTACTGTATTTTTCTAACGATCTCCAACACCTTGGGATCTCTCCACGTCTCACCCCACCATCTTTCTACATGGGGCAGCACTTCACTTCTACTATGGAACCACTAGTTATATCTCTTATATGCGTCGCGCTTATTTGTTCTGTTAAAAGCCTTGTTTTTCCTTCCGAGGATCGGGCCGAGGCTACGCCCGAGGATGAGCCTCCTACGCCGGTCACGCAATCCTTCCTAACGTGCGTGACGTACCAAATGTGAGAATTTCGTGTTGCAAGGCCAGAGGCGGGTGTTTCTATTTGGAAGGAAATTGGGGGGG